CAGCCTGCACAGTGCATGGGACTCCTCGTCCATGACGATACAAAGGCTTCCATTACTTCTTCAGTGTTCTTAAGTCTGAATCTGGTTGACAACTCCCATTGTAGTGCTATTCTTTACCCCCAGGTACATGAGTGGTAGATGAAGTATGGATTGAGTTTCTCCCTCAGAACAGACAAAGGGAATTACGAAAAGAGCAGCAGCAGAGTATATAATTGAAATAATAATAATAAACCTCATAAATTACATTTCTTTCTTTTTGAAAACATGTTTATGTGGTTAAAAGTGAACCATATTTTTCATGGTAGTAGGAATATTTATGTATTTTAAAACACACAGCTATTTAATTACTTGGCTGACAACCTTACTACTGTGGGGAGTATAAGCCATCAGAGAGCTGAGCAGGTTCCCTTAGTGGAAAGCCATCAACTTTGATCCATTAGATGGGCATTTTATGTCTTTCCTGATCCCAAACACAGTGCCATGGGTAACTTCAGAAGTAAATATCTTAGATGAAATTTCAGGCCAAATCTTCCCAATGTCCCCACTTAGTGTGCTTCACACTACAATTTTAGGGCACATCCAGTGTTTTCCTTAGTTGAAACTAGAATGGAAGATTATTCCAATCTATTCCAGAAGGTTTATTCCAGGAATAAACCTATCTTACTCAGTGCCTAATGGGTCTTAAATCCACAGGACCAGATTACAAGTGTGAAGTAAACCCCTACAATCTGTGGGGCATGGACACCAAACCTTCAGCATCAGATAAAGGTCTACAAATCTGTTTGTACTGTCCTGTGCTATTGCTAGTGTAGTCTAGTCCCTTTGTGTTGTTTCCTTGCACATTCTCACGGAACACACTTCTTGCATTTTTTTTAATCTTAATCTCAAATACCTGTTTTATCACTCACAACATTCATAGTCAAATTAAGAAACATACGACTTCCAAACAAACCTTTAAACCAGAGACACACACACACACACACACACAGAGAGAGTAGAAATCCACTTCAGCTGCAGTTGTGCTGGATGAAGAAATGACAACCTCACTCCCACCTGTCCTCACCACCCTTCTCTCAGAGGTGACTGCACTTGGAGCTGCTAGTAGAGTTGCTCATGTGAATGCTCTTGCACCTGTTTTGGATAAACATGACCCTGTAAGGTTTGAATAGCTGCAACAGAAGTTATTTGCTACTCATCCCGAACTGGGTGAGGGAGAGCCCCCAAGGGAGCTTCTCCTGCATGAAAAAGCAGCTGTAGATGATCTTTTCAGGTGGCACAGCTGTGCTCAAAGGAGAGTGTGTGTCCGCAACAATAGCAAGGGTAGAAAAGGAAAGCTAAAAATTAGCAACCTGAATGAAATAGCTCATAGTCTGTACTCACTATTTTGGTTTTGGTCCAAGTTGTACCTGTATCGGCTCTTTTGACATTTCTTCTATAATCCCTCAGGCTGTCAGAGGGGCAGAGAGAAGCCCTCAGCTTATACATACAGCCTCAGACACAAGTAAAATGTTGAGTTCCTGATAAGCTAGACACATGTGCATAAGGCCACTGATTCATAAGGAAAAGACAGCATTTAAGAGTTGTTAGTAGACCAATGTAATGTGGTAAACTTGCCGATGCTTAAAAATGAGGAGTAATGTGGCAGGGGGGGGCCAGGAATAGGAGGCTATAACCAATTCCTGTCCACCAATTGTTAAACAAAAAAAATCATGTGGTGAGATGTCATGGTTTGAGAGCCCCAAAATCCGATTCCCGAGTCCTAGCCCCCCTCCCACATCTCAACCCAGTGTGAGATGGGTTTTCCAGACACCACATGAGACTCAAAATGGGGGGAAAGGGATATATTAAAATACACTGTACAAATAAATATTATAGTACACTACGTACACAATCTCAACTATCTCCTCTCTCTGAGCAGCAAGTCTTTCTAGGGCAGCAGTGTCTCTTTCTCTCTTCCATGCAGCAGCTGTAGCTGGGTCTTTGCCAATACACACGAGGGGAGTCCAAGCCCCTCGGCCCTTCGTCTCCAAACGAGGGTCTTCCCTTCCATGGGCTGCGTTTCCCAGGACAAAGGGCACGTCACCACATCATATCGCAAAGCACAGGGGTCTTCGCAATGGTCCTTATCTTCAGGGGATTCAAGCCCCTTGCAGAGCTTTCCGTGCTCTGCCTCAAAACTGCCAGCTTGGCAGCAGCAGGGGGGAAACCCTCCTCCGCATTCCATCGGCTGTCCCGGTCCAGCTCTGGGAAGCCTGAGCTCCTCAGCTCCTCTCTTTGCAGTGCATGCTGCATTTTAGGACTTCCATTCAGTAGGAGTCCACCCCCTCCATTTTAGGAGGGATCTCAAAGGAGTTTGGGGGTTCTGGTTTTTCAGTTCTTACCCCAAAACTCTCTCTCTGTAGAACTTAGTTCTGCTCTCTCTGCTGCTGGCTCTCTTTCCTTCAGACAACTCTGTGTCTCTCTGGTTAGCTGCATGCTTGGTTTGCTGCTGCTTCTTCAGTTCTTATCTGTTGGCTCTCTGCCACCTTCCCTCGGTCAGTGCTGTTCTTGCTGCCGCTTCTGCTGCTCATGGTGGAGAAACATCCCCCAGCTCATAGCTACAGGTACTTAGCCCAGCCTTACACTATTCCAAGTCCCTGTAGCCCCCCAGCCAGGGCGGGGGGGGGGCGCAGCCCCCCAGCGGGGGCTCCAGGCCCCTTCCTCATGGCTTAGAACATGGCCACCTCTCCAACTACAACTACAACCACTACCTTTCTTTTCCGGTCTGGGTGATATGTTTATATTCTGCAGAAGCACTCATTGGTTCAAACCTCAAGGGTCACCACCCCCAGGGGGTTTACCATTTTATAGCTTCAGGGGGAAAACTGTTTTCCCCCCACCACATGAGACCATCTACAAATTTAGACTTTTCCATCTTTAATTTGAAAGATATGATGAAAAAGTAATGTATGTTCTCTGACAGTTCAGAGCTTCTCTAATACATTTATATCTAATACACATATCTACAGATATCTAATACACATATCTGTGGAAAAAGACAAAAGCCTTCAAATAGTGATTTTGAATTCCAAGACAGGAAATAAGGACTTAAACAGCATCAACAGAAGGCAAAACTCTTGAAAGGTTTGAAATACAGAGGCTTTCCACTGAAATCTGTCCTGCTATCATTCTATACACATGAGCACGCACATACACATTCCTGCACTGGTTCAGGATAGTTGTCTGTTGCTCCAAATTCACTGCACATGGTGAAGTTCTAAAATTTATCCAAGACAATGTTGTTTAGAGTCCTTTTTTATTATTATTTTTCTATTTTATTATGTAAGGACTCTGCGCCTTTGGAATAGGAAGCTAATATAAATATATGCTGTAGTGCAGATGAAGAACTTTCCCAATTTCATTAGCAAGTAGCAAGATCTGTACATATACCTCCCATACAGAATGTTTTAGAAATATGCCCTATTATGTCTAGTTAAGTCAACCTTGTGTCATTATTTCATATTAGTGTATATGACAGAATTGACATACCCAGAAAAGATGCATCAGAACCATTATGTGTCATCCAGGAAAATGAAAAAAGGAATTCTATGTTTTGAAAACTAGGTTAAGTATCACATCCTCAAGTATTTTGAGAAGAAAAGGTTATATTGGTACCAAAAATAATATCTGTTGTTTTAAGGTTTAAGAAAGTACTTTGAATAAAGATATAGTAAAACAAAAAGAAAAAAAAAAGCCAACTTTGGAGTGCATATTTAAGTAGAAGAGTATAGTGAAATGAGAATGAAAATCTGCTGCACAAAGAGAAGGCAGCATTGTCTCGGTTCTGAATATATGTTGTAAAAAAAGGCAATTTTTTTTCACAAGGAAACTTTTTGAAATAAGTCAAGATTTTGCAAAATATTTCTTTCAGGTCCAACATCATTATCCTAGACTATTACTAGAAAGACTTCTGCTGGGTTAGGACTACACTGATTTCACTTAAGTGTTAAGCACAAATTAAGCACAAGCCGAAACAGTAGTTGTTTCGGACAGATCATATAATGTTCACAGAATCCCAGAAATGTAGGGCCAGAATAAAACTGAAAACACCTCCAGCCAACATTTGTACTAAAAATAGATCAACTGTATCTAGCTTATCCCTTAGGTATGGTAGGTTACAAAAATGAGAAAAAAAATTTGCAAGATATTTAAGCTGATTGCCCCTTATTCTTCCTCCCCTCACAACAGAAAATTATTGATTGTCATTTTTACAAAGAAGACATTTTTATTCCATGTATGAGCTCCTGCAATTATGTGCCTACAGGAGATTCTTGGTTTTCATCTTTTCAGTTTGTCCCTCACCTACTACACATTTCTATTTATTTGGTGAGTTGACCTTGCTTGGACATCGGTTGCCCACCAAACCTGTCTATCACTCCCCTCCTCAGCAGGATGGCAGAGGAGAAAATAAGATGGAAAAAATCCCTCATGAGTGAAGATAAAGACAGTTTAGTGGAAGCAAAGGAAAACAAAAGATTTTATTCTCTACTTCCCATCAGCAGGTGATGTCTGGCCACTTCTTGGGAAGCAGAGTTTCAGTAGAGGTAGTGGTTGCTCCAGAAGACAAATGTCATAAATGAATGTCACCCTCTTCTCATCCTTTCTCTTAGCTTTTATTGCTGAGCAGACATCATATGGTATGAAATATCCCTTTGATCTGTTTGGCTCAGCAGTCTTGGCTGTGTCCCCTCCCAAATTCTTGCCCATCCCCAGCCTACTACTGAACAGGAGAATGTTGGAGAGACTGTCTTGATGGTGTGTGAGCATGGCTCAGCAATAGCCATAATAACCATGGTGTGTAATAGCAATAGCCATGGTGTGTTATCAACCCCTTCTAGCTACCAATACAAAGGACAGCACTGTGAGGGCCACTACAGGAAAATTAACTCTATCTCACACAAACACAATAGCCTTTACAAAGAAAATAGCTTTCAAACGTAGTCATAAAAGAAAACTCAAAATAGGATTCCACATAGAATGACGCTGGGGTGAAATGAAGAACTCAAGATAACTTCATACATAGGCTCCCCAATCTTGTAATTTTTATACCTGAACTTTAATTTTCTCTTCTTCTAATATTTGATCATGCTGGTGAAGATGCAGCTGTGGCTCAGACTTTGGACCATCTTCCACATGTGTCATTCTCAGGAGTTTTGTTGTGTAGCTCCTAATAGATGACTCTTGTTTAGGAGGAGTCGGTGGCTTAGGACTGGTCTGAAATTCAGGAAAGTTTACAACTACTCACATCTTCTGTGTGTTCAGACAGCAGATTTGACCGTCTCCCAATGACCATTGCTGTGGAGGAAATAATGTTGCTATGGGATATAAAGGTAGGCTGCAATGTCAAACCCTCTCGTGCTGTAAATTCTCACATCTCTGTTGTCTTTAACTGAGCAGTCAAAAAGTACCTGTGCTGAGGATTAGGCTCCCTATCTTCAGACTACTGGATAATAATATCCTATCAAGGAGATATAGGAGGGAATCAGAAAAGCTCATCAAAATGTTCAGTGACATGTCATCAGATTTATGAGAAAAAAAGATGTCATTATAAAGAAGAAAAAAAAGAAAGGTCATATTCATTAGGAAGAAAGGAAGACCTAAAAAAAGTACAGGAAATTACAGATTTGCCAGCACCTTGGAGTTTTGTTGTTAAGAGAGAGGGAGGTTTTCTTAGCACATTTAATTAAAATGAGGTACTGTGTCTCTTTATTTTTACATTTTTAATCTTTATATTACCATAACAATATGTCTTCTACTGCTTCCTTAAGCATTACCAGCTGATTTATTTAATAAAACTGAGGACTGAGCATCACTGGAAATACTGTTTCCAATGGAATGCTCTCATGCTGTGATTGGTGAAGTGCTAAGTAATTTGCTTTTAATGCTAGCACATACCACTTAGCACTATATTTAACTGAATGATGAAAATCACTCATTTTTCATCCCCTTGCTTAACTGGTGCTTAGTGTAATCTATCTACTGTACTGTGAGCCTAGCACCAGATATATTCTATTAGACCTTGCTCTCCAATCTGCAACAAGCATTTTAATTTTTAATTCATAGTTATGTCTTTATCCTTTAATAGAATAGAACTACAGATGGGGAGTATGTTTTAGATAATAAGAGCACAGTAGGTACCCAGGGAAACTACACCACTAAAAGGATTCTTTATTTACACTTTTCAGTAATGACTACATATATATAGCTACACAGGAGAAAACTGTTGTAAAGGAACACTGCATAGACAGGCAATTACTATCCAGCTATAACTGAGCATTATGGATGGTGTTGCTGATAAGAGCACTTCAGAAAACAATTTCAAAGCCAATGCCCCCCACTGTATATTGACCAACAATCATGGGAACTCATGGGATGCAAGTAATCAAAATTAATAGGAAGGATGTTACATTTACTGGGTAAAAAGTAAGGTAGATCTACTTAATATTTAAGCATACTTTAAATTCAGCTTTCACAAATATGTAATTACAGAATTTTACATCCCAGATTAGATGAAAGTCAGTGTAGACATTCCAATATAACTGAGGGAATAAAAGTGGTCAATCAAGTCCCTCATGCAGATCTCAGGACCAGATCCACATTTGCTAAAAAGTCAGCACAATCCTATTAGAACTGAAGGTATGGTGGTTCCGCACATAAAGTCAGTCCTGCCATCAGGCTAACTACCAACACTGTATTACCAACACTGAAGTCAAAATCTCACAGAACCAGACTGGATATCATAACTCAGTGGTGGGAAACCTGGGGCATTAATATTGCCCAGAGGGATTATTACCATTATAGTCAGTCATGTTGAAAGACAAAACTGAGGCCAAGAAGATGCACATAGTATGATGCTGCCCACAGCATGCTGTCTTCTTGGTACAGTCGCCCAGGAACTGCAATAGGTTACAGATCACCATCTTAATTCACAGCACAGGACAGTCATGAAAACAGGCAATCCCAGCAGCCTCCACCATATTGTGTGTGTCATTAATTATTGTGGGGTAATTGGTATTACCCCAAAATCTGGGGTAATTGGTGAAAAGAACAATGCTGCTCAGGTAGAAAAAATCCACAGAAAAATTCTGAGACTGAATGATTTCTTTTCAGTTAGTTTCTTTTTCAAAGTCATGTACAGCGGTTTAAAGGGTCAACAGGCAAAGCAAATATTAAAAAGGCAATTTTATTCCTGTTATGACAGTGAGAAGTCATCCAAGTAATATCTGATGCAATAGAAGCCACACAAATCGCATCAGTTCTTGTAAATATTCAGAAGATTTAAACACCATTTCTGTCTGGGTGTAACTCATAAAATAACCACACACATATGCACATGCACACAAATAAACCGGGGAGGAAAAATAAACCAGAAATAAAAAATGGAAACCAGATTGTTGTCTTGCAAACCCAAAGAAAAACTGTTCTCAGGAGTGACATTTAAACGTTCAGGTTACTACCTAATGTAATTCCTGATTATTCAGGTGGATTAGAATCATAGATTTAAGTAACAAAATTAATCATAGATTTAAGTAACAAAATTAATCAACAATGCTCGATATATTGGGTAAGATCTTGCAAAGGTAGGTGGATCTGAAAAATTTTTTCCATACCGGAGTGAACAAAGGGACACCAGAAAATCATACATGCTAGAAAAATGTCACTGATTACTAAAGTTAATAGATTACAGCATTCTACATAAATTATTCGAAATAGCAGTAAAGTGAGAGTCTTCCCTTTTCCAACTGCATTTTCAGGACAAAAAGTATCCTACCACAGGGAAGACTAAGAATCAGGGCACTGGCAGTCTGCCCTATATTTCTACATTTACCTCTGATTTTGGTGGCCTTGCACAAATGATTTCACCTTTCTTGCCTGTGTTCCCCTTCCCATCTTCTCCTTCTGTTGTCTCTCATAGTTCTTGCCTTTGTGGCATGGACTTAATTTCTGATGCATTTGTATGGAGCTAAATAGAATAGGCACTGATGGGTTCAAACCAATGAGCAAAACTTTAATACTACTAAAAAAGCATGAGGATAACCTCCAGGTTGCTTTAAGCTTCTGTAGCTCCCGGGGAAGCAGGTATGGCCATCACGAAGACCTCAGAAAAATGGTCTCTGGGATCCTGTAAATTTTGCAGTCTGTTGGGACTTGGTTACAGAACTGGAAGATGAAGCCATCATTGTTCCTCTTCTGGGCATTTTTGCAGTCTTGTAATTACAATCGTGTTGTGCTTTGAATAATTACTGAAAATGCTGTCAATGTTTTAGTCATGAAACTTAAAAGACAAAAAAGCAACATTTTCCCCACCACAGCTAGCAGGTACAAGCAAACTTGAAAAAGCAAGAACAAGCAAACCTGAGAAATTTAGGAGTGTCCCACAATTTGGAAAGAAAAAAAATCATACGAAATAATAATATTTGCATGATATGTGATCTGATCCCATGAGCTCTCCACACTGCAAAGCTTGTTGAAGCCATAGAAGAGCTACAAATGGAGCATTTGCAGGACAACACTTTACACACAGAGATATGGTTGTCAGAAACATAAATCCTATCAGACAGTAACCATACCATGGATGTGGATCAGGATGGAAACAACTTCATGGAATATGCATGACTGCAGGAACTAGCTCTTGTCAGAGACAACTGGATTTCCTGAAGATTAGAAAAAAGGATACAGAGACAGACATTATGTAAATATACCAATGACAGAGTATGACCTCCCTCTCCCAACAAGAGGGATATTGGAGCAAGAACCCATACAATAAATTGATCAGTTTTCCCTAAAAAGAATGTGTCTTGTGTGCTCAAGTGAACTTTCCAAGGTTTCTCTGTTAGCAGACAACATTACTGTGGATTTAAAAGTAACACAAGGTGCTTTTAACTGAAATTCACTTCTCAGAGGGCATTGGAAAACTAACACCTGTAGGACTCAGCTGAGTGCAGGGCTCTGGTGGAGCCAGATCTGGTACTGAAAGCCTGGGTAAGGAACAAGAAGAAGTTGATATATCACAATAACAGTGATGCCTAAAGACACCCAGTGCACTCGGTAATTCTCCGTCATCAAATGCCCTGATACTACCTTTGGTCAGGAGCAACTTTGCTGAGCAACATGGACCTCTTCTACTCTGCATGTATTACTCTAGACACTGTGAGGGGTCCAGGGGCTCTCAGTACACAATGGAAAACACAATGCAGGTCTGAGAGATTGGGACTTCTCTACTCACTTTAATACGTGTGAGTGCATACCTAATTATATATAAAATAGCTGATTTAAGCCTACCCCCACTGTACTTTAAATGCTGGCACTGGTTCAAGATAGATTGCTGTGGATTGCATTGCTGCTGTGGATTGTTTTGAGCTTCTGAATAGAAAATGTGACAGTGCTTGGGTAAAGGACAGCTCTTCAGCATTCAGACTCTTGCAACAGCCAATGAAACTACCCAAGGATAAAGACACACTGGAAAACACATCTGTGAAATTTCAGCTCTAACTGATCGCACCCTAGTCTTCCCAAGAGAAACCGTTATTTTCAAATTTTTTGTTTTCTTCTATCCCTCCCATCATTTTATGCTTAGGTATCAGTAGTATTCTTCAGCTAGGTACAGAAACTGATCATAATACCTTTCCACCTTGCTGTACTCTTTTTCCTCTCCCTCAGTTTGATACGTGTAAATGTATACAGCACATTGTCCATCTCACTTATGTGCTCCTTGTGGGCTGTGTTCATTTCATTACACAAAAGATTTTCTTCACTAATATCACCAAATGCCTGAAAAACAGAACAGACAAAACCAACATATTATTATGTCAGTATTCAGCGAAATATCAGAGGGAACATAGATGACTTTGATTACCCTTCCCCACCCCTGTCTTCTTGCTTTCAAAATATCACAGCTTAGAAGCTTCTGTGTGTGTGAAATTTTATTCTGTCATACTAATAACCCAGCTTAGCAGCAGCTTACAGTTTAGCTTTCATGGTTCAGTTCCACTCCTAGGCTTATAACAATTTTTCTAACAGTTCTGCCAAAATATTATAAAGTAAAACTTACTGTAAATGTATTCACTAATACAGATAGAGCAGTGAGATTAACAATTTAAACACATGTGAAATGTGGATTCGCCTAATTTTTCTCACTCTAAATGCTTAAGTAAAACAGTGGAATGGGGATTTTTACGCCTGTTGCTTTTAATAGTTTCTTCCTATGATGTTCTTGACACATGGAGAAGATTTGAGTGAATAAAGAATAGACCCTCAAAGAAGAAAATCATGGCCATGAGGACATGATGTTATAGGACTGGAAACTGGTTATAAAGCCATGACTCCGCTTCAGATTCAGCTCAGTTCATTAGTAGTTACCTCATCACATGTCAGATCCTCAGCTTGTGTAATGTGGGTGGCATTTTGCACAAGAGTGCCATGGCTCTGATTGTTTTCACATTTTAGAATGCTCATATAAGAAAAATTTTGCTTAGATGAATGAGAGGAGAAATCAAATTTCAAATACTGAAAAGTGACTGAGCCTCAGCTCTCTCTAGCTGCCGTTACTCAAATATTAGCAAAAAAAGCACGTTACTCCAGTAATGTTTTAAAGAATTTTCCTATTCTCAAACTAGTTTAGCACAGTTGTAATAAATTATACAAACACCAGTATATGTACCAGAATAACCTCCAATTTCTATTGTATTTTTTTGCGTATTCCTAAAATCTATCTGTTGACATAACTTACAATCATTGTTGTATTTCTGGGTTTGACACACTGTGAAGCAAGGAAGTGGTGTTACCTCTGGAATAGAGGGATATAGGCAATGCAGGGGATATTCCCCACCTCACATGAAAACATGTGACTAAATGTTGGAGTGGTCTTGTGCATTCTACACCCTAGGCAAGTTTCTTTGTACCATGCTATTCTTTCTTCTCAGCTAGATACCACTTACACAGAACAGCTACTACTTTATTTTCTATTTTAGTCTTTCAAACTAAGAGATAGTCCAGTTTTAGATTGTCCAAAGTTGTTTTTCTCATGGCATAAAGATACAACAGAGTCATGGCAAAGCTTTTGTATTACATGAAGTTCAAGAAGCTAGAAGACAAAAAGAGGGCCTGTAGCATCAGTGAGCTAACAGAAACAGAAATATTTTTCCAGTTGCAATAATCTTAGAAGAAAAATGTGGAAGTATCATCAGAGTATACTTAATTAGGAGATCTAATTCTAATTCCCCAGAAGATGGAACACTAAATTCATTTAATTTCATAGAATTGTTTAGGTTGGAAAAGATCTTTCAGATCATTGAGTACGGTCGTAAACCTAACTCCGCCAAGTCCACTACTAAACCATATCCCTGAATGCCACCTCTACATGTATTTTAAATGCCTCCAGGAATGGTGAGTCAACCACTTCCCTGGGCAGCCTGTTCCAGTGCCTGATAACCATTTCAGGTTATCAAGAAATTTGTCCAAATATCTAAACTAAACCACCCTTGGTGCAACTTGAGGCCATTTCCTCATCCTGTCACTTGTTGCCTGGGAGAAGAGACTGACCCTCACCCGTCTACAATCCCCTTTCAGGTAGATGTAGAGAGTGATAAGGTCTCCCAAGTGTCCCTTTCTCCAGGCTAAACAATCCCAGCTCCCTCAGCTGTGCCTCATAAGACTTGTTTCTATGCAAAAAAGAGGACTGGGATATTTAGAGTTCACTGGAAAAGCTTTTCCTTTGGTGTTGGTTGAGATATATCAAGAGCTCTTTAAAATCTGATCATTCACATAACCAGCATGTCTGATTGAAGCAACAGGAACCCTTTGCTACAATTAAGGTGCTTGTGTACTTTAAATTGAAGCTTGTATAGACATGTCAAATTTTTAGACTTGATCAGAAGTTGTACAGAGTTATGTTCTTAAATTAAAGTCCAAGTTGTTGTTTCTGAGAGTGACTTAATAGCAGTAACCTTATGGTTAATCAACCATGTAGTAAAGTTCACTGTGCACTTACTGCAGTGTAATTATAAAGTGAGCAAAAATATAATTGATGCATTTTGTCAATCTGCGTAGCTGCAAGGTACTTTTTCAAAGGTTATTTTTTTATTCAGATAAAATAAGTTAATGCTGTTTTGGCAATTATCCTTTGGCTTCAGAGATTTTACTGCTGATTCAGGTAAAACTATGTGATAGATGAATAAAGATTATAAGAATTTAAAACTACAAAAAAACCTTCCACAACAATCAGTGGCTCTGCCCTTGCAGCATAAAATCATTCTGAAAATCACTGAAAATACAGCAAATCTCAGTGTTTAAAGTAGTTTGAAACTGAAAGGGATTTTTTTAATACAAAATAGCACTTTTAAAGTGTCTCTTAATTACCAGCACTGTTGTTTGTAATACAGCACAACTAAAGTGCTATGACGGGATTTTTCCTGTGAGCATTGGCTCAGACAGTGGATGAGCTTGAACTTGCTTCCATCCCTTCTGTGAACAACTGAAGGAGACAGCTCTAACTCTTCAGGCCCCATGGAAAAAGAAATTAAAATATCCATGAAAATAATATATTTGTTGGTTAGGTATGTCATCTTTGCTCCTTATCCCATGTTCTCTGCCAGTAATAAAGAATCAATATGATTTAAAATTGTGTATTCATATACAGAAAAAGGCTATAAGGCTATAGTTCTGGTATTTCAGTAATTTTTTGGCTTCTTGAAAGCCTGTGAATGCAGCCAAAAGCCAGTGGTGGACCTGTCTCATCCCTTTTATTGTCCTTCCATCACAGCACAGTCCCCCCAGCAGGTAAGTGGGACATGGCAACTTGAAGGAAATAAATCTTTTTGCACATGACCCTGTGAGTTTCTGGGGTATAGAATATATGGAACCTGGGATTTGTAGAAAACGAGGGAGAGGATAAATGGCCACATGCTGCAAGGCTGCCTCCTACATTTCGAGCCTGTTGCATGTAGTAACATAGTCTTGACTGCAGTTGAAAATCTTAATAGATTCATAGACACTGTTCCTATTTAAAACTATAACACTATTTACTGGGAAAAAAGTAAGGACCTAATCTTATACTTGACAGCGAAAACAACCTGAAACAGAAGGTATGAAGACATAACTACTTCCTGGCTGAGACGCATTGTGCACATCCACTTCATCTGCAGCAGATGGATTGCCTTAGCTCCCACAAGCGCAAGGAGCAACAGACTGGGTCCATTTCAGGACAGGGTTCACATGTCACATGTGAGATGAGCTGAATCAATTTAAAAAAAAAAGCATACAAGCACAAGATTTCTCCAGGAAAACTGTTTTTGTTGTTCTCAACTTTTCAGCAGGATGGAAAGCACTGCCTGGACAACTAATTTCTTTCTTAAACTGATTATCTTTAATTGAATTATAGCATTAAAGGATAAATGTATACTGGTAAAAATACCATAAAACAGTCTAGTTTACTTCTTATTTGCAGTGGAACTAGCTATACTGCCATGATCCTCAACAAAAGGGTTGTAAATTTTCAGCCTGTACTTCTTCAAATGCCTATGGCCATGGAAGTATCTCTCAGCTGACTTTCACCATGTGTAATTCCCAACTGAACCTCAGTGCATGTCGAGAGGGATCATTCTCCCACTGAATGAAGTTGCAAAGTATTATTCATTTTTTATGGGACAAGATTAAATCTCAGAATTAGGCAGACAGCACGTGGTGAAGCCCACTCAGCACAGGAGTATGTACACACCTGCATGTTTTAATGTGGGTGGAATCACTTTTGTGAGGGATAAATCATTTGCTGTTAATCCCTACTTTTACAGGGATCTCCGGGAAAGAAACTCATAAACTGGCTATGTTTGTGGATAACCTGACATGGCGCTGCTGAAGCCAGCTAAAGTGGGTCAGTTTACACCAAATAATTGCCTTTGCCCAGCCTCTCCTCAGCCAAGGAGCCCTCACCCACTCACCACGGCTGCCCCAGCTTATGGAAAGGCCAGAGTTGTGTTCCCTCTGCGGTGTCTGGTGAGATGATGAAGCTGTGTGATGGTGAACTCATTAGGTAGTGTACCAACCTCAGTTACTGGGCTGAAGTGATCCTCCCTCTTTCTCTTCTCCATAAACCTTTAGCGACTACTAAGTCATGAAGAGTTATAAAGAGTGAGACTCTTTATGAAAACAGCATGTGGGGCTTTTGCAGTAAACTTGGCCAATTTATTCCCTTAATGAAATTAGAGCCAGAAAAAGCTGCACTCACATGCACAAACTGCACTGAAGTCAACTGCATGGCTTAGGCACATATGGGAAAAAAATAGGGACCAATATTCATATTAACACTGTGTATAAAAAAAAGAATTTGTGGAATTAAGAATAAAACATGAGGCAATTTGTTGACTTGCCCAGGGAATATATGGGAGCGACAAATGTGTAGATTATTCTAAGGTTGTTTTTTACTGTCATTATCAGATCCAAGAACTATATATAAAAGCATGCAGTCCTTCACATGCTAAAAGTATAGTTTGCTCAAACAATTCTAAAATATTCAGTATTCTTAAGATTAAATATCTGAATATTGCTTCTGAAGGAACAGCTGTCAGCTTAAATCGAAAGTCTAGTTTGTTTACTGGCTGTATTTTATATCTGTTAGAAAATGACACCAAATGGCAATAAAATTGTTGTAAGTATTCTACTGGGGAATATAAATGCCCTTTGGTTACAGTGTACATATCTTTATACATAATTCCAGTATATTTTCCCTAGAATTATGTTAAATATGTAAAAAGCCTTTTCTCATAAAGGTAAAAATGCTAGATGTTTCCAAGCTGTAATTTAGCATTAGTGTCAAGATTGCTTCTGAAAATAAGCTACGGTTACTGTTTCATTCTTTTTAAGTGTCACTCAGCATATCATATCTGATCTTGTATTCAAAATAAACTTATATGATTTTATTCACTTTTCCAGAAGTGCAAGAGGGTTTAGACATAATTTATAGCATATGGATTGATGTAAATAGCTTAAACTAAGTAATTGGCTAGTCACCTATGCTGTCTTATCCTATTACTACTAGGTACTTTTCAAGTAATTAGGGGAAACAGATCTCTTTTATGCAGTAAGTTTAAATTGGATGAATCCTTGGCATTTGTGAAGGCTTATTTGACAGATAAAATCATACTATACAAAAACTTTCTCTACAATGCTGAGGTTTACTCGACCTATAATAAGAAACTGATTTTTTAATGAGTTAAAGAGACTTATCTTTGTCCTTTTAATAAGAAATCAACTCCAGTCAGCAAAAGTTGAGATAAAAATCACCACGTTGGTGTTATCACCATGTAGACAGCAAACACATACCACTATCATTAACTTTTCTGTGCATGGATTTAAAATACATTTAAAATGCTAAAATTCAATAATTTCCTGTATATTAAAATAACATCAGATTAATGAATATAGAAAAGCATGAAAAAAAGATTTATTTTGAGAAGGTCATTCCTTGGTTAGCTAAGACTTAAATTGAATTACTATAATGGAGAAATATGTCATAGGTAAAAAGGAAAATGGTTTTTACTGCATGTGAATTCTTTAAGTTTTACAATGCTTATGATAAAAGGACTGCACCTACAAGTTCAACCTCCATAATTTTTATGCTGCACATTTTAAAAAAATCTTTTTATTTAACATTTTTAGGGCAATTTATACATGCCACCTGGTACTTAATGCTCCTTTTAAAACAGTTAGTTTTGCCTCATCTTTATAAAACCTATAAAACTACTTTTCATACCAGGCATGAAATTTCTGGTTATACCAGGAAAGCTGGAGCTCTAATGGCTATATCACACTTAAAGTTTTAAACATTTTAAAGAAGTTATTGCATATAGAGACATTTATTCCAGCTAGTACTTCTACACACAGCACTAAAAAACTGGCCTTACCTACTGAAGGAAAAAAAAAAAAGGAAATTATTAGTAAAATGAGTGGTTTGGCTCCTTGGGTAAAATTAAGTTCACATAGAATTGCTTTGCTGAATTAGGGCTATGAGAAAATCTTTCTTTGACTGAAATATAGAAGAGTAGGATGAGGTTGTAAACATAAAGTGAATTCCTTATGAGCATCCAAGGACTTTACAGCCAGATTATGCAAAATTTCTCTTATGCCTGCCAAACAATATCTGCAGATACAGAAACATATCTGAGATTGAAGTCACCAAGAGCTGAACACACAAATTTGAGAAAGAATTTGACCTGGTGATTCCAATACTGTTCTCATGTTAGTGAGTTTGGCAAGCGATACACTGCCTCAGATCTCACGAGCCTACACATGCACCTCAATCAGCTGAATCCTAAGAAGCTACTACTTATGCTGGTGGTGCCCTCTGAACGATGTGTACATTTGCAGCGGCTTTTTCAAAATTATTATAATATCTGTGCCAAATTGCTCATGCCCTCCTATTATCCATATTTCTGAAGAACACCTACCAATACCAGCAATCATCATGCTGTAATGGCACAAAGCATTACACACCTGATGGGGAGATCTTAGTCCCCAGATGCTTGAATTATGAGATTCCACTGCAATAATTAGGAATAAGTGTTATGGCTCTTTCAGGTATGATTCCTGAAAGTCACATAAACTAAAAGTCAGTCTTTTCATTTTGTTATCTTCAGAGTTTGACTTCAGAGTTTCTTAATAAAAGTGAACAAAGAAATAGAAGATTACACTGAAATAATTAAATTTTCACCCTTGGTATGTTACTGTAACAAAAAGCATGATTGTTTTGCAGGAAGAAGGTGCATGTAACCCTCAGTTCTAGATGCTGTTGAATTATTCCTTGTGTTCTACGGGCACTAGTCCACCTAGAAGAGAGGAAAAATAAGTGAAAGTCGGTTGTTTTCTTGCTCTGTGGACTCTGCAGACAAGGTAGATGTATATACAATGGTAGGACGTCACTATTGCTGTAGGCCTCCCCTGTTCTTACAGACCATGTTCCTGTGGTCCCAAGACATCACTTTGTACAAATATCTTGTCTCTGGTGAGGAGAGAGGGGCTTGCTGATCTTGAAGAAAGAAGAAAGGTAGCTGTCTATGACAGGGATAGAGAATAGGTGACAATCTCTGCCCTCACAAATGTGGAAGAAGAGCCCTTCCTTCTTCACCACTGCTGGAATGGTGAGGAGAGGAACAAAAAAAAATCTTGTTTCTTCTGGTGAGGTGTTGTACCCATTCTGGCAGAAAACAGACAAGATTATGAAATTATATTATGTAGGCAAACTTCTGGAAAAGGGAAGTCTTATTTACACCAAAGAGTGATCCAAATAATTACATGGAAGCTGACAATGATTAAATTTAGAATAAGAGGAAAGTTCTGACCAAATAGACTGTAAGTATCCAGAAAAATCTTTCCATTGAATCACTGGGAACAAAATACCTAAACTAGACTAGAGTTAGGTAAACTAAACTACTTGAGTCTTTAGAACTAGCTCTAAATGTTCAAACAATATTTATACACAACAATTTGTCAACAGAGGCAGTAGACTGAAAAGATTATCCCAAGAAGCCCAGGTAGCCTTTCATCTCCTACACCTTAAAAGCTATACATAAGGTTGCAATGCAACCCTTCAGCTCTAAAAAATTTTCTAACCCCACTCAAGTACCACTGCTTGTCTGGCTGCAGCAGAGGCAAAAAACCTTGTTCCTGAGGGTGACAACAGCAACAAGTGGTAAAGCTCAGGTGTACTTTACCCCATAGCAGCAAACTTCTCACTAGTCAGTGTATAGTTTTAAAGTTCGTTAAATAGTCTTTATTTGGAACTGAAGTAGAAAGCTCTGACCTATAAAATACACAAATGTACAATTACATCTGTTATTAGCTAAATGTAAGATCTGTATATAGGTTTTACTGCAATTATTAGTTAAGCATATTTCTTACATGTAATTGTATTTAGTTCTACAAGTAAAAATGCTGTAAAGCTTGTATTGATCCTCTAAATTAGACATGCAGCTTTCAAGACGATGACATAAGACTCAGTCATGTGGATTTTAGGGATAGATTATGTTGTGATCTGGTACGGGAAACTGTAAAGTGGCTTGAGCATCCTTACTGTGCAGTGCTCACTTTGTCGATGCTGGAAGCTTGTCGAAAACTCACCTGGGAAAACAAAACTACATTTTATGGGAATGCATTTCTCCTGTCTCAGAAATACAGAAGGAATTAATGAACTGAACCAGTGCACTGGGATAAGATTGCCTTGGGTGTTCAAAGGGCCTCCTCCCACAACCTTGTGGAAGTTGAACGAAACCTCTCAGCTAAAAAGCTGAGAAGAACTTAGTTGGGAAAAAACATTCCACAAAGAGCTACATTTGTAACAGGCACAAAGCAGGAATTGGGCTGCATTGTTGACCTCAACCATGGCAAAGGTGTTTAAGCGAAAGCCTAGGCAATTATTTATATGCAGAGCTTCTTTAACAGACTTAGGCATGGAGTTGGATTTGCCGGTTTCTTTGTTCCGGTAATTAAGTTCTACTTCAGGTAGGCCACGTGCCTTCTCTTGTTTTCTTTGGCGAGCTCAAAGACTCTGGTGTCTTCACTCTGGTGAATCACAAGTTCCCCGGGCAGAAAATTATGTTTGGATTCCTCGAGGACAGTTTCCTTTAAATTAAATTTTCTTTAAAAAGCCAAGTAGGGCAAAGACATTAAGAATAAAATCTTTAATAAAGAAAAGAGCCTTGAAAAATTGAAACAAAGGAGCAGAAGCAATGTTTGCCTTATGCTGGAAAAAGGTACTTGAACCTCGACCTTAGAAGTGAGCCATTGAAAACATTGTGCTTCATAATTTCTGCCAGCATTGGTAAAGAGATCTCCGTTATGATGCTCCCACTTCTTATCTGGGAAGGTAAAGTGATATTCTTTGACTCTACTTTCTTTTAAATGCCAATCTTTTTTTAATAGTCTCTCAACACAAGACCAAAGGCAAAAAGGAAATGCAAATCTTCAAAGCACTTAGAATAAAAATGAAAAAACAAGGAACAAAATGCAGCCTATGAAACAAGTAATGGGTGATACTTCTCTTTAATACCATCCTATATTGTCTTTTAGTGCACAAGCTGCTAAAAATCTGACAACATCCAGGATTGAATCTAAAACATGCAAAATGCCAGTAAGTAATCTATCTGTGCCTTAGCTCTGTGTATCTGAGGACAAACTAAGTGAACGACCAGACTAGCTGTATAATAAATGTGCACAATACTTACTTTGTATATTTATATATATAATAATTCCTGTACAGAATGACTTTATGTTGTTCTAAGTGATACATATTTATAAATAATCTCTATGTGTGTAGTTTCAGTGTATATCTTACATAATTGCCTTTAAATGGCTTTATAAACAATCCTAAATTGCTGCTTTGCACCGCAAAAGCATCAACTCATTGACTTTACTGTTTCAGAGCAAGGTCTTCCTATGGAAGATTTCAGTGTGTATTTTGGGCAGGGTCAGGCAGGCCTGTTTTCCTGTTTTGATGCTGACCTAGTTCTGAAGTGCTCCCCTTTGCCTTCAAAATCTCAGTGAGGAGCCTGCTTGGACCTACCTCAATGATAGCCCCATCAGGTAGCCGGAGGAAGTGCCTGTAGAGCTCCTGGAAGCCGCTGAGGTGAACAGTGTAGACAGAGACGTGAACAGTGGTGCTACCTTTCAAGCTGGCTGCAGAGTCAGGGATTTCATCCTGGTGCTGGAGGTCACAGCTGGAGACACCAGGCTGGCTGGCGTGGTCCTTCCAGATGTAATCAGACACTGCCACCTAGTGAGACAGAGGGTCCCCCCGCCCCCAGACACACACACACACACACACACACACACACACACACACACACACACA